ACCCATCTGTCTTCAACATTAGAAACGACGCGGCATCAGTCTACAATAACTGGGTCCAATTGTTTTGACCTTGTACTTATATTTTATGATATGTTTTATTTTTCCTCAATTTTAGATTCACCATAAACCTCCTTTCAAAGTTGACTACATGCCTACAACATACTACTGAAATGTCTGCATACTGTGGCACACTATGGAATGCAAACACATAAGCTTATACATTATTCACAGGTGTTAAATCCCATCTGAAATTCATGCATTCTTGCCTGCATTATTAATTTATAGAGTCTGTGGTTGGATTTACAACATGTCTTTGCTATGGTCAAAGATAACATCCAACTTCTTGAGTTACTAGATTTCTTTTCATTATATTTGTACAATATCTCTTTTTGATTTAGGTACTGTTATAAAACCTATATTTATTTTTTATATTTAAGCAAATGACATGCAGTGTGTTAATCAATGAGCCTGAGGTGTTGGTAGGTGTATTTATGAATTTTGGGGGAAGCCAGGCTAACTGTTTGCTCCTGCTTGCAGTCTTCATGCTAAGCTAGGCTAACAGCGTTCTGACTGCAGTTTTGTACTTAACACACAGACGTGAACACTGATCTTCCCATGTCACTCCTAGAAGTGAATAAGATGGATAAGATTCCTAAAAATGACAAAAGCTGAAGTGCCCCAAATCTGCATTCTTTCTAATGACCAGCAGGGGGTGACTGCACTGGTTGCAAACAAAAAAAAAAAAACAACAAAAGTCCAGCTGTACAAGAGTCGGAGAAAATGAGCCTACATCTCACTTGATTTATGACCTCAGAAAACATTTTCCTAATGGGTTTTTGTTCTCAGTCACTGGTCTGAAGTCTTCTTCAATACAGCATGATGTTCATTTTGTTAATTATGGGTCCATTTAAAGTAAAACGAATTAAAGCAGGTTATGTTTTAGGGCGTGGCTATCTTGTGATTGACAAGTTGCTACCACAACAGTGTCACCCATGCTCCTCCACAGCTCCACCCTCTCTTCCAATTATGGTCACTTCTGGTTCAAAAACAAACAAACAAAAAAACTAAGGTGACAGCCAAAATGCTAAACTCCAGCCTTCCGTAGTACAGTAGTCCACAAACCAGTGCATGATGTCATGATCTATGACTCCCCTGCTGCTCAGATAGTAATGTTGTTCTGTAGCCGAGTACATTTGCAGTATCATCTACTTGACATTTGTTTATGTTATTGCTACAGTGTTAAAGGGGTGCAAGTTGCAAGATCTCAAGCCCATACAATAGAGTTGACCTTCACATTATGCCTACATTTGTTTATTTATTGGAGACATTCACCAACCGTTCTTAAGAAGAAATTTCTTCTTAAAACCCGCTTACACAGTTTTCAAGAAGATTCTGAGATTCACCAACAATTTCTTATCTGAGATTTGTTCTTAGGCAAGAACAGAATCCACACCCACTCAAGAGCGTTCTTACATACATTTTGTGCTGACATGTTTGTACAGAATAATTGGTTATTATGTTTTCCTTAATGCTACAGTTGGATAATATTATAGGATTTATATTACAATAAAATTTTTGTAATTTATAATTTTTTAAAATTATTTTTTAATATTTTACAAAAAAAACCATTNCATGACTTCAAGGACCCATAATAAAATCTCCAAGACTAGAATTAAACGCACCACAAAAAGTTAAACTGACATAAACTTCCTGTCAGACAAGGGTCATGTGACATATTTATTTTGTATCTGGTGTTCTCAAAACCTTTGTGTTATTGTATTATACTGTACTGAGTGTAAGCTGTTTCGAAAACACACAAAAAAATAATTTTAGGGATCAAATGAGGGTTTACAATGTGAAATTATAAATCTTATTATCATTAACAAATGAAAATTAAAATGACTGGTAATAATAGATGACGAAATTTGTATGACCCTGTCTGTCAGAATGATGGACAATAAGAAAGTCTAATGCAGCCTCTGCTTTGGGGTTAGGTATACTAAAATCCAGGCCCGTGTCCCTGCTATGAAAGCCTCCAAAGATCCTTGCACAGGTTCCTTGTCAGTTGTTTCACTGTTATTATGAAACACTGCCTCCCAATTACCCAAAATTAAATCACAAATCACACACAACAGCTAAACCTAAAGGTGATACTATTCATTACAAATTTTGACTCACTATGAATTTTTTGTTTTTACCTAATAAAATGATCTTATATCCAGTTGCTCTTTTACATTTATTCAACATGTTTGTTGCATTTTGGGTTTGGCTATTACGTGATGTTCTATTTTTATCAATCAAATGCTTATTTATGCTGTAAAAATAAAATGTATTCTTCAATTTCTTTATATTATTATTTAAGAGCTGAATTAGCAGTAATTACTAAGTCTTTCAGGAAGACAAGCCTATGTCCTGTCCAATGTATGCCTGGCACAGTGGGTGGTTTCATATTACAGGACAGTTCATACGTTTATAAGAAGCAGACAGTCCTCAGCTGTTCTCTTATACAATATGATCTGTCTTTTTGCCTCAAATTGTGCTCTCTCTATTTAAAGATCAGCTTTCTTTTTCACCTCTTTCTTTTTCTCTCATTTCTTTCTGCTTTATTAGAAGCCACTCCTGAGACCTCATATGAGGACATCACATTTTGGGTCATTCTACTTAATGTTGACCTGTTGTCCTCATTAATGGACACTTTTTTTGTGCCACCTGGTGGTAGTAAAAGCACAATACACTAACAAGCTAAAATGCTGTTAATTAGCAAATACTCATTGAAGACATAGGGACTTTATTGTCGTCTCATTTGAGGACATTGGGACTTTATTATCTTTGACAATGTTTAGTTTTTTATACTTATTGGGTCCTACTGATCCCAAATAGCTAGGAGAAATTAAAAATGCATATCAAACAAAAGTTCGGGTCTCAGAAGGATAAGTATATTAAAAATATGGCAATACCAGTTATGCACTGAATAATACATGATCATCCTGTTGAGAAAACCAGCCAGCCAGTTCTACTTTGACAAAAAGCTTCACTGTAAGAAACAGTGGACAAAATACAAATTCCTTGTTCTGTGCACAAATTCATTCTCCAGTTCAGATTTCAGTGTCCAAAGTCAGACGCATCAAGTGGCCATCAATATTTAAGTTTGCAACAAACTTTAAGGACTACCAAGATGTATCCCTCCACCATGCCTAGGCATGCTGCCTGTGGAAACCGGGGGGGGGGGGGGGGGGCTCTAAACAGAGTTTTGGAAGCTATCTGCTTGATTTGACCGAGACGTTTGTCAGACTGCTGAAGCCTCATCATTAGCTTCAAAAGACCTTAAGAATGCATTTTTGCATAAAATGAGGACTGTGGATTTTGCCCCTCATTTCTTAAATTGTCTTCTTTTAATGCTCTTCTGTGAAGGTACTGCTTTCTGGCCAATATGGAGAGGAATAATTATATTGACTAATCACTGTTTGATTGAAGAGAAGTACTGTATAAAGATACAGTTGAAAAAATTTGAAGCTTTTCTTTAGTAAATAATAAAAAGCAAATGTCTGTCACTTTTGTTAAAACAAGATTCCTACAGTTTAAGGTAAGTTAGATTTAAGACTTTTTTAATGCCACTCAAGATGAAATTAAGACCAATTTTACAATAACCAAAATTAAGAAAAAAATGAACTGATGTCAATAATTTAGAGTAAGGGACAATTTTGAATTTGCACTTCCTCCATCATCCATGGTACAGTGACAGCTAGCTAGCAGATGATGGATCCTCCAATCTGAGCATCCCGCAAGAAACAAAATGTGAGTGTTGTTGGTTCTGCTATCCTTATCTGCGTGACATAAATGGCATTTGTTAATTGATTAAAAAAATATATACTGTATGAGAAATTATGTTGAGATTTTACAATGCAACATTACACCAAAATAATTCACAAAAAATATACTCTCTGGGGTGCCACTTTTGAGCATTTGAACTATTACACCTTCATCAGAGCATACATTAGGCAACAATGGACAGGCTAGTAAAAGTAACCAATCTCAGTCTAATCATTGGCTGTATGCAACACACCTGTGCACAACCCTGATGCTTGAAGCTCCACCTCCTGGTTGGTTGAGCAAGAAACCCTTGATGTATTGAAAAACAAACCCATTCATTCTTTCTCTAATTTCAGTCATGATAAACATTTGGCTAAACAAGAACTCTCTGAAGACTCTGACATTATTATTAACCTGCCAACAAATGGGGCACTATAGTCATTCAGAAATGTCCGACTACAAAGAGGAGGCCTATCAGCAATTTACTGACGAAAGTTTTTACATTTTACATTAACTTTTTTTTTTTTTTTTACTTCCAAGAAAAGATCTCAGATGTCACAGGCCGAGCTCTTGAACTGAATTGGATTCTAGCCCAGGAGGTGGCACTTTTACGACCAGGTTTGTGTACAGGTGTGTTGCATAGTGCCAATGATTAGACTGAGATTGGTTACTTTTACCTGCCTGTCCATTGTTGCCTTATGTATGCTCCGATGAAGGTCTAATAGACAGAAAGCTCAATGTTAAAGTGAAACACTGCATAGATGTAAGTGTGCGGAAATCTTTTTCTACCACAATACAACATTAGAAAAAAAAAATTCACACAAAAAAGCATTGTAAGACTTCTGGAAGATTGATTTAAGATGTTTTAATAACAATTAAGGCCTTATTTTTAGATTAATGAAATGAATAAAAACCTGTAATAATAAAAACTATTTTTCATTTTTCTTTTGGATTAAAATGTTGTTGTTGTCACCTCATTCATGTGAGGCAGTCTAATAACATGGATTGTGTGAATGGTACCAAAAAAAAAAAGCAAATCTGAAGACAAACATGACGTGTGGACTGTTTCTTTACCGTCTGATTCCACAGACATACGACGCCCTACTGTGGACAATGAAGGAAATACAAGTCAGAGCTCACACTGAGGCTGTCCATCCATCCATCTGTCCATCATCACCTGTTCATTTATCTATTTCAGAGCCATTTACTGGAAGTAGAGGTGAGTGGAAATGTCTTCTGATGATGGAGCGAGAGCATCCTGACAGCTAATCACCTCAATGGCCCTCTGGAAAACAAAATGTTTCAAATATTATTAAAATACATATAGACATGCACGCACGCACACACACACACACACACACACACACACACACACACACACACACACACACACGCTTCCTCACCTCCATGCCTGTCAGTAGCTCTTCTCTGGATGTGGTGAAGAGAAGCTCATAGAGGCTGTATTTCTGAAACAGACTACAGCCAACAGAATAAACAGAGTCAGCTGTGTCTGTTCAATTATTCAACCGCAATAAAGTCTAGAGAAGCACAGAGCTATTTTACATATCTATCTGAAATAACACAAGACCACAGTGTACTTGATACAATTTCAGGAAAGCGTGTTTTGGTCCCCTCAGCACATTATTGCGATAGTGTCATCATAAATCCATGTTTAGTTCTCGTCACAAATATAATGTACATGTGTTTGCCGCGGTGGAAGGCAACAACTGTAAGTGCACTGTACTCAAGTTCTGTACTTGCATTTATTAGGTAGTTTACATGATTATTTCCCTTTTCTGCCACTTTATACCATTTTCTACAGTATTTATTTAATGGCTGCACTTAATAGATACTTTGCATAATAGAGTTTATATATAGTAAAAAAAAACATATGATCAGCTCATAAAATATGGTGCATTATTATAAATCTAGTTACCCAGTAGATATACATATAAGGCACAAATGAGCCCAACCAGACCAGCTAGAACACTGAAATGCTGCTTACATGGTAATAAATTAATGAACTAGAAATACTGCCTCACGGTTGTATGCCTCCGCAAACCAGTGTTGTGTTGAGTAATGGCCAGAAAAGTGTTTTTGTAGAACATTATGATGTTACATTATGATGTTACAGTTTTTAGATATAAAATCTCGACACATCATTTTATCCTATTGGACATTTGTGTGAAATTTCGCCATAATTAGCATATGAATTCTTGACTTCTGGCTGATAGCATGTTTTGTGAGGTCACACTGACCTTGACTTTTGACCTTTGACCACCAAATTCTAATTAGTTCATTCTTGAGTCCAAGCAGACGTTTGTGGCAAATTTTAAGAAATTCTCTCAAGGACTTTTTCATAATCATGAGAATCAAATGCATGGAAGGCCACAATTACCTTTGACCACCAAATTCTATTCAGGTCATCCTCGACGAAGTGGATGTTTGTGCTAAATTTGAAATAATTCCCTCAAGGTGTTCCTAAGATATTGCGTTCATGAGAATGAGACAGACGAGGTCACAGTGACCTTGACCTATGACCACCAAAATCAAATCAATTCATTGGTGAGTCCAAGTGAACATTTGTGGTGAATTTAATCAACTTCTCTTGATGTGTTCTTGAGATATCGCGTTCATGAGAATGGAACTGACGGATGGAGGGAAGGGGGAAAGGGTGGAAATGAGATGCACCCTTAGTTTGGCCCATGTCTCGCTGTTATCATGGAGGGGGTAGGCTTAATGACCTGTACTGTAGCCAGGCAATCAAGATGTTTCAGCTTGTCTTTTGGGGAACTGTTATGACGATCTTTATATACAGTCTATAATCTAGACTAATGAATAGCACTATAGGTATGACATTGTTTTTGGGGTGAACTGTCCCTTTAAGTGACATCTGAATACTTCCTCCACCATTACATCCTTGCAGATATTACAATAAGTATTAGTTTATATACATACTCATGAAAAAGGACAATTTAATAATGGAGTCTCATATTATAATCTGGATTTCATTCCTTAATTTCTTGATTTTGAAAGTGACTGAGAAGCCCAAGACATTCCCTGTTTGCTCATCTACTGTGTTTTTACTAAACATGCTGTGACAGCTCTTCAGCATGTGATACAGTTTCTCCAGCATGAACCCAGTCAACATGTCCTCCCCCACACGACACAACATAAACATGTCTGTCAGCTCATTATGCTGTATACCACCTGTGAGCTGAATGTAAGGCCAATGTGTGTTACAGGTGGAGCCCATGCATGCAGAGATCTGCAGGACCTCTTTGTGACCACTTACAGTATGGGGCCATTATGGGGTACAAATAGGGTCCCTGTGTGCAAAACTGGGACCTGTATATTTGATATGTGTTGTTAACCATGAAGGTTAATGTAGGTGAGATCACACTACCATAACCCACATGGTTCCTGCATAGAGCAAATGGATGGACACGTTTTTATGCCAGCCCATAAAGCCCATGCTGAGCCCACATGGACATGTTGGCAGGGATTTAGAGTGGAAATGCATTTGTAACCTTTCAGGTGTCTCTGACTGAGTCGCATTAAAGAAATCCATATGTAGATTTCACCTGTAAGTACAAAGGGCATTTTAAGGATTCTCTGACCTGTTTCTGATGTAATTTACGAGTTCCATGGCTTCTTCTCTTTCCAGAAGTGGAGTGGTGTCTTCCTCTGAAGGTGAGCACTGGCTGGCAGCACCTAAGGCCTTAGCAAACTCCATTAAGTTCTCCACTAGAGCCATCTGTTTCTCTGGAATATGACCATAAAGCACAAATTAGTGCTGCGGTTCTGACATATTTGATAGGATATTTAGTTAAGTAATGCAGTTACATAACTACCTTTTCAGCACTGTAGCAATGTTAAGTAAATTAATTTTTTTAAATATTTTCTCATCTTATATTAAATTATCAAAAAGGCACACCAACATGATCTGCTGAAATCTCACACATTATTCCTGCATTCATGAGCCCCAACCGAGCTCATATCTGTGTGATAATTATAATGTTCTGTCGGCTAAAAGATGTGTGTACCACAATGGTCATTTTTTGAGGCTGTAGTAGTATGAGGGGTGGGGGAAAAATCTATACAGCAGAGTATTGTGATATTTGGCATGGTGATAATGTATCAATACACGGACACCAAGTATCGATCTTTTATTACATACATTATTATTTTTTGTAAACACACATTTTAATACAACTTTTAGTACTACAACAATACAGCTAGATGGTGCTGAGGTTTTTCTCCTGGGGAGGTCAGCAGCATTTGGCAGGAAGTTCATTAAAACAAAGATGGAGGCACTGAAAAAAGAAATCAGAAATGAGCCGAGAAATCAAACATCCGGACTAATTTCGGATTTTTTAACACCCAAGGAAAGAAGGACCTGGATATGACGCATGTGATATGCAAGCAGTGTCATATGAGAATAAAATACTCTGGGAGTACTACAAATATTAGGGCTCACATCACACTCAACCATCCAGAGACAGTTAGCCACTGATGGCCAAGCTAACACTAAACCTGCTACACTGAAAAATCAACCAATAATGGACACACTTAGCTTGACAAAACTACCATCCAACTCTAAGGGAGTTCAGAAAATAACACAGTCCATCACCTACTTAGCATGCAAAGATCCGTGTCCATACAGTGTAAAAGCTGCACCCAAGCTCTACAGACAAGTGAAGCATAAAGTTGAGTAATCTTTGAGTGCAGCAGGAAGAGTGGCATTAACTTGTGACGCCTGGACTTAAAAGTCAGTGGATTCATATGTGACTGTAACAGCACATTTTCTCCAAACTGGAGCAGTACATGAAAGTCACACTGGAGCAAACATTGCAGACCTCCTGCAAAATGCAGCACAAGAAGGAAGGACTGCCGACAAAAACCTTGTTGTCATAAGAGACAGCGTTGGTAACATGGGTGTTGCTATTCATTTGGCGGGTTACCTTCATGTGAAGTGTTTCACTCACACGCTTAATCTGGCCTCACAGAGGGCGTTGAATGTGCCTAAAGCTCAGTTTGTCAGGTGTATGCAGCATTTCTGACAGGTTTTATGACAGTGTTGGTCAGTCTGTCTGCTTTGCATCACAATATACTGTAATAAAAATGATTAAAGATAGACGAACAGACTGAAACCTTTATCTTCTGAGGTAAAACTAATATTGACAAAGCTTCCTTTGGGGAAATAATTTGCTGTTAGAAAAAAAGGCAAAACAATCACAATACATTGCAACATATTTTATTGCAATACTCAGCATATCACAATAAATTTAATATCGCAATAATATCATGCCATGACCTAAGTATCATGATAATATTGTATCATGGGTCCTCTAGTGATTTCCTCTAGGGGTTTAAATCGCAAGTTTTATTACGATACGTTATTTTATCGATTTGTTGGACAACATTATGATATTTGCTGATATCACAGTCTGGTGTGACACCATATTTATATGATATTTTTTTTAAATCAGGGTTGTAAAGTACTTCCATAGTTACACAAAACTACAATAATAAGCATATGAATTAATATTCATGACACAATTCCACAGTCACTTTCTGCATGCCATCCCCTATCTCTGCATGTCCTTCCCACCTCTTATGTTATCCAGCAGCATGTGCAGTAAAGCCATGGTGAAGGAGATCTGTACGGGGGTGAAGTTGGCCTCTTTTGCCCACCAGAAACCACAGACATAGTAATCCAGCAGAGCAGCTTCCTTCATACAGATGTGATGGCTCCTGAAGCCCAGAATCTCTGCTATTTCACTACAGACAACACAGAGCAGATCTGGAGAAATACTATTTCAGCATGAATTATGCATGGAAGTAGAGTCACTTAAATGCTGATGAAACATCTGGGCTTTATGAGGATACTGAGGTCATGTCCTCAGTATGTCTTTTTTGGTGAATTCTTTGGGATTTAGAGCTCAAGGGGGAGTTGACATTCAACAATAGAAAATTAGACATTGTGGGTAGTTTGCAGTCTATGCTCTCGTCAAAGCCACCAGACTCCATTGACAAAAACAGTAATTTTAGCTCACTGAATATGGGAGCTGCTGGTTTAACGCTGCTTCAATCACTTAGCTATTAGTTTGTGTTATTATGTGACGTGGGTGAATCAGAACCAACCCTTCTAAATGCTAAAGGAACACAATAACACAAACAAAATAATGATTGATTGTCAGCACCTGGGGGCACCGGAAGCTCAAAACAAGAGTCAATAGCATCAGCAAAATAAATAAATAAATAAATAAATAGTTTTCAATTAAAAGTGGTGGTGATTTGAGATCCTATTAATTGAAACCTCACAAAGTATTTCTCCTGTCTCTTATCACCTTTTAGGCCAACGACATCAGCAAGAGTCAGAGTCTATAATTCCCAACAGGCACAGACTCACCTTTTATTATTGCAGTAAAGGCCTTGAAAAACCATATAGACCCAGTGTTGGGAAATTGGGACAGTCTCCAGTAAGTAGGCTTATGATTTTGATAGTTAACCGAATTAATAAATAACATTTTTTTTTAAAAAAACATGAACATAGTTCCAACCAATATGTTTTTAAGATATGAATAAGTACAATATAATGAAATAAATAAAGGGGAAATGGCTAACTGTTAATGAAATTATGATGCATTCTAATTAAATAGCCATAAAATTAAGATGAAACTACAAAGATCGTGTTAACAACTTGTCACATTACTGCAGGTATTTTTTCAAACCACCAGATCCACAGGCCAAGGATTATGATATCTATAGCACCCAGTCGGGGGCCTAGCCCTACCCCATATATTTTTTTTAAACGTAAAAAAAAAAAAAGAGAGCGAGAGATTAAGTGGTGTGGTGAGCATTAGAGAAAGAGAAAATGAAAAGGCAAGGCTACACAGGGCACAGTTTTAAAAAAAGAAACAAGAAAATGACAAAATGTGGCATTTGCACATAATGTATTGTCTTATTGTTTGTTATTCATTATTGTTTGTTAGTGTTCTGACAAATGGAGCTACAGTACCCGCTCAGAATGACCTATCAGAATCAATCAGAATGGACTACAAGTTCTATAAATGTAGGTAAAACTAGAGCAGCTCATTCTGTCAGGTAGAAATATCACAATGTGATTAAAAGTAGAGTAGGCCATTATATAGGGTGAATTATCCATCAGAATATGCTACTACCTCTATAAATGTGGTTAAAAGTATGGTTGTGTCGCCTGGTATGGTTTTGGTGGGGTTTTTTTCGTCACCATGAATGAGCAGTTTGTGTTAGTAGGTCATTCTGAGTGGTAGCTCTATTTGTCAGAACGCTATCTGATAAGGTGACAGTCATTCCTTTGATACTTTGTCCAGTTTTGGACCGAGGAAAATATAAAAGACGTGGCAGACCGTTGCAGCTATTTTGCTTCCGCTTAGCCCACATTTAGCGTAATTTTAGCCAGGTACATTATCGCAGTCTTCACTAAGCTAGCTAGTTACGCAGCAGAGATATGAAATCATACAGAGCTGACGCTACTTAGCCTAACGTTACCTCTGAAGTTCATCCGTACTCTTCCTCAGCAGCTCTTGGATTTGTTGGAGTGGCGAAGCTTCCCACTGGAGGAAAATAGTCGTCTCTTTCTTACAAAAGAAAAGGCAAACATGCTGTAGTTATGCCAAATATTCACTAGTCAAACGAGCAAAAATAGTCGGTTACTTTCTTTAGCTCATTTCTTTTATACTTTTGGTTGCTCTTTCTTTTCACGACGAGTTGCTCCACCGGACATGTTGACGCTCTGGTCGTTGCTATGGCAACATCCCATCAAACTGCTGTTCTTGGTCCACGATGATCCCACTGCTTCCACTGAACCCACCCAGTCAAGTAAGTTTGTGTTTTCTTTTGCTTTTTTTAATCAATAGCATGTTTCAGAATCAGGATCAGATATATTTTATTGATCTCCGAGGGGAAATTGTGTTGTTGTGTTGTGTTACAGTCGCTCCGATGTAAAGAATAGGAAATTATAAGAAGTAAGAATAAGAGTATGAAATAAAAGCATGTAGGGTAAATAGCCTATAAAATAATAAGAAAAAATGAAATAGAAATTAAAATGTGCATTATGCTACAATATTTAACACTCAGATATTAAGAATAAAAAGATGTTCACTTTGCTGAGTCTGTAGTGTGTAAAAAATAAAAATAGGTGTGTAAACTGTGTAAAGCAGTATGTAACATTTAGAAATATAAAATATTCATTATGCTATAATAATCACTACAATATATGGGGCATTCTACCCATTTTGTGCAAAGTGCTGTCCCTTAACAAAAAAAACAACAAAAATAATAAAATTGAGTATTCAGACATAGATATTTACAAAGATTATGTTATGACCTATTTAAACCCAGGACATTAAATGAAAAAGTGATAAGCTAAATATATACAAAATCACCATTTATAGGGTACTTTCTATTGGGAAGTAGCTGTCCCCAACCCTGACCTCTAAAATTCAATTCATGTAAATAACACTTTTCAACATTTTTCATATTTTTTTTCAAAGTGTAATTTAAAACATCTTTGTGATTAAGTTTAAACAGAAGTTGAAAGATTTAGATGTATTGTGGGATTAATTTTTAAATTAAGAAACTATGCTAAAAAAAATAGTGTCCCTTGTTTTCATGTCACTACTGAAACACAAGAGTTTTAATGCACTGGTTGAGTCTGGATTTTAGCCACACCCCTGAATTTCTGAGAAGGGGGGTAGTACAGCACCCCCGTCCCAGATGGCTGAATGGTAAGTCGCTGACTCCCATCATTTTTTAAATAAATGTCTTCGAAAGTCTGAAAATCAGTGTGTAACTTTTAAAACTGTCACTACCGAACACATGTTCTCTTCAATTATGTAAAAATTTGGGGGTCTTGTGCAAAATATTATGTTTTTCTGTGTGAACAACTCTTCAAACATGTGCTTGTTAGCCATGTGACTGCTAGCATTCTTTAGTTATCCTGAAAAATAGCTAGGAATGTCACTACCGAAACAGTCACTACCGAAACCTATTGTAAAGTTTCGGTAGTGACATGATCATTTCGGTAGTGACAAAATGGAATAGTCAGTAGTTAAACCCCATAATTCTGTGGTCCAAAGTCTTGCTCTTCTCTGCTCTGCTCTACTCTACCCTACCCTGGTCTACTCTACTCTGCTTTACTCTATATATCTATTCTGCTCTACTCTGCTCTGTTCTGCTCTACTCTACTATACTCTACTTTGCTCTACTCTACTCTGCTCTACTTTGATCTACTCTGCTCTGTTCTACTCTACTCTACTCTGCTCTACTCTGTTCTGCTCTACTCTGCTCTGTTCTACTCTGCTCTACTCTACTATACTCTGCTCTACTATACTCTTCTCCACTCTATTCTGCTCTGCTCTGTTCTACTCTGCTCTACCTTGCTCTACTCTGTTCTACTCTATTATATTCTGCTCCACTCTGCTCTACTATACTCTGCTCCACTCTACTTTGCTCTTCTCTGCTCTACTCTACTCTGCTCTGTTCTGCTCTGCTCTCTCAAAAATTAAAATGTTTTATTGACCACAAAACATTTGTCTTTGAATTTATAATTCCCACCATAAGGCATACATTTGAGGAAATATGATGCAACCTTAAAAACAGAATAATGGTCACTACCGAAACAGGACAGTCACTACAGAAACGGTGCAGTCACTACCAAAACACTGGGTGTTTTGTAAAAAATAAAGTATATTGAGTTATCAACTTAAGTATTATGATGCTAATCGGTTTCATTTATGTTCTGTTTCATCAATTATTAACTCTGAAATCAATCTGATCAGCGTTATGCATTTTACAAAGAAAGATTGCATTTAGATTTTGAAGAATTCTATAATTTGAACTTTGAAATTTGTTAAAATATGAATTTTTATAGATTTAATTGTGAAAACCTTCAGTCAAAATTTGTAAAAATTTAAATATTTAGACAAGGAAAGGGACAAGCGTAACAGGTTGATATATATTTTTTTATATAATACTATATGTTTCGGTAGTGACAAATTTTGGGAGAGGAAAAACATTCCAAAACAGTCTGAAAATACAAAATAAAAATTTACAGTCATTTTACTAGATATGTGACCTTTACATATGGTAAAATATATATAGGGACAAAGTTTTGGAAATAAAACATACAAAATTTCAAAATATTTCCAGCCTAACTTTGCACACATTAGGTAGAATGCCCTATATACGCCATTGAAATAAAAAATAAGAATAAGAAATATGTACAGTTATGTGCATTGCATGTTGAATAAATATACGTTCAAGAGGTGCTGGTGAAAATAAATTTGTATATTGAACAATATTGCACAGTTAATATTCTTCAGCACTTTAATATTCTTCAATGGAGCCTATTTATGTGTATTTGTCATTAAATTAATTTATTAACGTGATTAATCATCCATTATCTGTTTTACAACCTTTATCCGATGTTTGATTTAATTCCACTAATAGGACTTTTGTTGTTTTTGTGCGAATAAATCAACTTACACATTTATTAATATCACTGTAACATGTGTCTGCTGTTATTTTGAAGGTATAATTGTTCAGCTGCTTGATCAAAGTTTATCCTCATCCAGTGATGTAAGTGGGGAAGGTAAACCAAATGAACTATTATAATACGGTGATATCTGTGTTCATTCAACACCACCACAATTTGAACTGACTTTAACTGTAGATATGTTTAATGACAAAAAAAATCTGCATTGAGGGTGTTTTTCAGCTGATCACAATTGAGACTTGAAACTTTTACAGTCCGAAAACTAATTTTATTTTATTTATTTTTTTATTTTAAAGGTTTGGAGGTTGAACTTGAGTTGGAAGTTGTAGGAAATAAGATAGAGAATGAATGGGGAGTAGTATGGAAATGGGAATAATTTGAAAGTTAAAGCAACGCTTACCTTTCTGGAAATTTTACACTTTTCTTTGTTTAGGTTAAAATGCTATTAATAAGCTGATGGCACACTAAAATGTAAATGAATTCCACCAGAGAGCAAAACTCATACCATTCTCATATGGTTCTAAGAAAACTCCGACCAATCATTGCATTCGGACCTGTCTGTCTTCCCCACGTGGAGGCGTGACAGGACGCGGGAGTGGGGGAAGCGCGGAGGGGTTAGCTCTAGGCTAAGAGCTAACTCTAGGCTAAGAGCTAACCCTGTCAAACCAGGTGTTCTGGCGAATGTCTGCTCGCTGGACACGAAAATGAATTACATCTGACTGTGGAGATCCACTCACCGAGGAGAGAGGGACTGCTGCGTCCTTGTGTTCACTGAGACATGGATGAATGTAACATATCAGACTCCAGTGTTGAGCTAACAGGGCGAACACTACATAGAGCAGGTAGGGAGGCTGCATCATCTGGTAAGCTCCGTGGTGGCGGTAATATACACAAACAATTCATGGTGCTGTGATGTGAAGAGGATCTTCCAGCTCTCAGGATGCGGAGTTTCTGACTTTGAAATGTCGACCCATTTCATCTTACTATTGCACTATATGTTCTTTCTTATATGTTGCACAAATTGGTTTTAAATGTTTTGTTTCTTTTTGCTTGGGTTATGCAAAATGTTATTTCGTTTTGTGCTGTGCATAAAAATGACAAATAAAGAAGTTCAGTTTAGTTCATAACGTTATATATGACGACACAGCATCCAGTTGCTAATGGCTAACGTTAGCCTAGCCTAGCCTCTGAAACATTAATGTTATCTTCCTTGTGCATTTCCACTTAATAGTAACGTTAATGCTACTATATAACGTCAGCACTGTAACCTTATTCTAAAACTCATCAGTCATCACTGACTCCGGTTGAGTTTTAAAACTCCAGGGTTGCATTTGTAACGTTACACTCACTGTTCTTCCATGTATCTAACGTTACCTTGCCAATGCCTATGTCTATCATGGACGTAATGAGGACGTAATGGAGGAGGGGTGAGTAGGCCTTTTGAGAGAGGTGGAGTTGCAGGAGGAGGGTGGATGGGACTTTGGAGAGAGGCGGGAGTTGTGGATGTTCAAAAAATTTTCATTTGAGCTTTGGTGGGGACATTGAAGGCGAGTGCGCGAAGCACGTGAGCTGAAACATTTTGGCACTTGTTGATAAAATCCAAAAAACTGGCTCATGCACACCTTTGAAGAGTCTCCTGAACAGGTGCATAGGAAAAAACTTCAGCAGGTCAAGAAAGAAAAAAAAGAAAAAAGATTCCTGCACACTGTTGCCAAACTTGCAAAATATTTAATGGGACAAGGCAGCTACGTTTCGGTCATTACAACCTTCGTCAGGCAGAGTTGAAGCATTGAGTACAAGGCAGACTTAAATGATAAACAACTCAACAGGAGTAAACAATCACAGGCCAAGTAATCAGCATCACAAGCTGTGTGTGATTGGACACAATCAACAAGGTATACAGTCCATCCAGATGACATGAAAACAATTATCACCATGAACAAAGATAGTTGAAAGAAAGAAAAGATACATCAAAAATACATTTAATACTCAAAATTCATAAAGAACACAACCAAACAGTGTCAACATAAGGACCTCAATAAGAGGTAACACTGTATAAAACCTACAAAAGAGACCAATACAATGAAAAGTATTAAAAGGAGGAAAAATATTTTAAAGGGAAGAAAAAGTGCAGATCTAGAATCTAAGTCTAGGAGCAAATCTAAATTATGTCAGCAGTAAAATAAAAAGGGTAACTGCTGTCACAACAAATATATCACAAAAGAGCAGTGA